CAAAAAACTTGGAGTATCAGATCGAACAGTTTGTCAGTTCCGGTGGCCAGACAGCTAATATCCTTCTGAGTGGCAAGACAGGAGTTGGCAAGTCTTATTTGACAAATGCACTCATCGGAGAAAGCCTTGCGGTAGAAGGATTTGACATCAACCCACAAACTAACGACGTAAGCCACTTTAATATTGACATTTACTTTACCTTTTAAACTAATATATAGATTAAGCCAAGCCTAAAAGTGGAGTTACTGTTAGTTTATTTTCCAGCCCTTCACTATAATTAAAACTGTAACAAAACTCTTCAGCACTGGCTGTGGAAGAGTTTCCTCAAGGGGATTTAGGGACCAGTCCGGGAGGTGGAGAGGGAAGAGTTGACGAGGTCTGGAAACTGGGGACGACGTTCTCACAAATTGCAAAGCGATCAACGCGCATAGCATGTTAGTGAGCGGTGTCTTCAAGCAACTGAGAACCTTTGTTGTTGCTTCTGATTTTTTGATAAAATTTTCGAAGATAGGGAATGTTTTCGTCTTCAGGTAAAGTCTATGATGTCAGCGTCAGTTGAAATTATATTCTATTGAACGTGACTTATAATTTCGGTGCGGGAAAATGAGTCGAAATTGAAAGAAATTAACGACAGTAAACTACTTCGCGTTAATTAAGACATTACTAGTCGACCGAAGAGTGTACACTTGAGAACACTGTGAGTCAGTAAAACAGTGCGCCAGAATCGTATGGGCTTCTCTTAAATCTTCTCTTGAAGTTGCCAGGTACGACTGCTTGCCCCAACGTTTTTCCCTAACGTTTCAACCTCCTCTGTTTATAGCGTAGAAAATTTAAAAGAAAAGTAATTTCCAACTCGTGTTTGAACTTTTATTTTTCTAAACCTTTTCTCTTTTGGCTATTCTTGTTCAATGACTGTCCTCTGGCTGGATATACACGGCGTTGAGAAGTTTTAAATGGTATTTTCTCATGTTTGCAAATAATTGAATTTACTGGAAGGTGGAGTTTTGCAACATGTTAACATGAAACGCAACTATAAACTTTATTGATATGTAAAAGGTTTTCATTTGACTATCTACTGGTAGGTCTTTGTATTACATTTCAAC